TGCAACATATGCAAAAAGCCTCAGTGTAAAGCCACTGGTGAGCACTACATAACCAAATCAACTGGTTACAAACTGAAAAGACATTTTGCTCAAAATAAAAATCTGTATGCCAGAAACAAGACAGGTATTTTTAGATAATGACTAAAAATCCATTTTCCCTGTGCCATGAGCTCAGGGTCCACTTGCTTAAAACAAGTGCCTTCCTTTGTATATTTCATCAGTAGAAGTAATATGGAGCTTAGAAAAAATTAACAAACAAACAATAATTTGACAATACAGCTAAAGTAATCTAACTTTCTGTCAAATTGCACAGTTCTGTGTCTGCTTTGCATTTACTCCTGTCCCCTCCTTCATGCTACCACTGGCATGAGTTAGAACCTCCTGTGAACCAGGTCAGATAGCTACTCAAAAAGAAGACAAAAAAAAAACCAAAAAAAACCCAAACAAACAAACAAAAACCCACTATACACACAGAACAATGTCTTTAGCATCTTGAACCAGCTAATTAATGCCAACAGAAACAAAAGTGAAATAAAAACTCAAAAGGAAAAACCAAACAACTCAGGCAACAGTGTGTAGGGGAAAGAAGCTTGACATTAGTCAGGACTATGTAAGATAAAACCTCCAGAACATTCTGGATTAGACTGCCTCAAAATGACACCTCCTTCACCACAAATGGTGTCAAGCTGCTGGTGTGAGTGTTACACATCTAAGTTCAAGAACAAAAATTACACCACAACAGGCTGAAGTCAAAGTACACTTTGTCCTGATAAATATTAATTTAAGTCTTCAGGTTTCCTCTTACCTACGTTCAGCAGGTACTGGCAAAGACCAGACTTCTGCATCATGAGCTGGTAATTCTTGTTGTGAGGCTTTCAGTGGAGTATTGTCTAGTTTAAAACTCTCCAGTGTTTTCATTATATCTTTCACATGCTTAGCTTCCACACTTATCTCCTGCCAAACCTGATTTAAAAAAAAAAAAAAAAGGCAGATTATGCACATTGGAAATAAGTTTGTAACAGTCCTCTGTTCAAGCCATTGTAATGCCTGGATGGATTCCACAGGGTTTAACGAGCTACCTAATTCTACTTCAATAAACAAGAATTACGCACATTAGATATTAAGGAAGTTTTTCTGCCTTCCTCAGCACGTTTAAAGAACAAAGAAAGAGATTCTCGACTTAACATCAAAGAGACTTTTGATAAATTTTGCAGATTAAACTGGTAAATATCAATCAAAAGTATCAACCTAACAGGAAGAGTTAGAAATGGAATCAATGGAAAAAAAGAGGGCTTTTGCTGAGGACAAATGATCAACTTGCTATTAAGGACCTTAATCCCACTAAAAGATTGAGGGAAATAAGACCTGAATGATACCAGGCTAAAAATCTTGAGCGTAACGGGCACTCATCAGCATAGCTGTCAGAACAGACAGTGCACTGGCTCCTCAGAGCCACATTCCATTGACTCTTCTGGCAATGACAGACAAAGAAGTCATAAAGATGATTTAAACAAGTCTACATCACAAAAAAAAGAAGCCTATATATAACAACACTAGTTTATGAGAGAATGGGGTAAGTCTTTTTGTATTTTTTTTACAATAAGATAGGCAGTTCTTGCTACTTCAATGTTTTTCCCTCAAAACATCCCAGAAAAGTGCTATTTACCTGCTGCCACTTCTGTTGCAGGTAGGTATCTCTCACAGAGTACAGATACTTATTCATTTGGTCAAGAACTCCCTGGTAGTAGACCATTGCAGAGTCATAATTTCCCAGTAAGGCATATTCACGGGCCAACTTCACATTCTCAATGATCATAACAAGGCTCATGTTCAACATGAAGCTGGAAAAAAACCAGGAAATATTAAGGAATTAAAAAAACAACCAAATCCTGAAACAAATTTTTGTAAGTATTGTCATATGCTTATTACCACATTTGGCATATCAAAAGATAGAAGCTGAGAAAATACTGGCTAAAAACAAAAGGTCTAAAATGAATGTGATACATATTAAAAGATAATTTATGTTCTATTAGAAGAAATTAAACTTTTCATGTCACAGGTTTCTTTCTTGTCATGGAGGTTCTGTCAAAAAGTTGATGTAAGATATGCAGATTAAAATGCATTATTACAAGTCACAATTGCATACTCTCCTTACCACTTTATTCTATTGTAACATAAATTGGTATTTTACTGTGCCTGGCCTGTGCTATGTGGTTTAAAAAGAACACAAAAAGCACCAAACAAGCAATAAATCAGAACTCTTCTTCCTAATGCATTATGTTTCGTTAATTTTTTTTTGCCTTAACCTTCTGTGCATGTGAATTTTAATAGCCTGATTTTGCCGAGCACCCAGCTTGCACCTTCCTATCACCTTCATTCTTACACCTAAAAAGAAACCCCTTAAAAACATCAAGGCTATTTAAGTTATCGCTGAAAAGTAAAGTAAAAGCCACAATTAAACATTTAGTGTGTAACAACCCATTTTATTTAACATATTGTTCAAGCCATGCTGGTTTTCCCTGTCATTGGTGCTTGTGTTTTTTTGGAGCAAACATCACAGGCTGTGACTACTTTCACTTTGCAGCACTAACAGAATCTGTGCTTTTAGATTAGAATAGGACAGAAATATTATTTCTGCAAGTACAGTATAAGTAGAAGCAGCAGAAGTAGATTCATTCTTTACAGTGCCACTGTCAACAATGTCCCACATTGCTGTCAGTGTCTTATACACCCCATCCCCTTCTTCTCTAAGATGCTCGTACTGTCTCCACTTTTCTTGTCTCTTACACACCAAGAATTTCCCCACTCTCCTCATAATTTCCTAACCAGGCACAGAAAACATTAAAATTGGCAAAAAAAACAAGCCTGCAAGAGTGTCATCCTCCTCTCACTTTGGTACCTGAACCCAGTGCCAGAAAGAAGCAACTGCGGACAAGCAATTCCAGCTAAGCCCTAGGATGAAGCATACTTGATAGAGATCAACTATTTAAGGAAATTCACATGCGCAATAAACAGACTTAGGACCGAATATATTTCAAGACCAGGTCAGGGTCGAGTTCAGACACATTATCAGAGGTTTCAGAAGCCACTCTGCACACACCTGCCAATCTATTGTTAAAATGTGAGCCCTCCATTGTAAAGAGGGGCTGCTAAGTACAAATTAAACATTTTAGGGTTTTCACTCCTTTTTCTATCCCCTTCCCAAGCAGTTTCATGCACAGAAACACAGCTCAGGCATTCCTGAGCCAACATCCTCTTCTTTTTTCGCTTCCTTCCTCTTCGTTCCCTAGCTTCCCTTGGAGCAAATAGCTGCTGTCAAAATTCTCAGTCCAGAACAGCAGAACTGAGGCAGCAGGGGAGCTGAAGACAGGCCTCTGAGAGCCCACACCCATCCCTGCAGAGGGGACCCGTGGGGGTGAGGAGGAACCCTGCTATCACAGAACCTACACGGTGTCACTGCACTCTGGCCAGAGACTCGCCCAATTGGCCACGATGTCTACAAGCTGATACAGTCAATGTGACCACCAACTACAAAGACTAACATATCTCAGGCTAATTAGGCTTTGGAGACAGGGATTGGCTTGGGAGTTTTGTTGGTTTTAACCTCAGGAGAAAGAGCCTGAAGATGTTTGTCAACTGCTGTATGGATCATCACACAGATGTTAACAAAGTTTTCCCTGCTGTATTTAGGAGCAAGCTTTTCCACTCCTGCTCATCCTACCAGATACACCTGTTTGCCTGTCCTGAGAATTCAAACCGATGACTAATACTACTGAAATCACAAGCTGAGCAAGATGCTAATAGATATTTTAAAATTCAAGTAACAGCAAGTTACTGAAACAAAACTAAACTTTTAAATACACAGAGAAGTCAGAGGTAACTTTTTTTTTCACTGAATGCTGTAGAGCAATCCAAGCAAAGCAGCAGTTTTATATATACAGAAAAATAAAAAACAAGTTTGTAAGAATTGTTTTAATTTGGAAATATGAAAATAACTAGAATTAAAAATTAAAAAAAACCAAAACAACAAAACTAAAGAGGCTAAGTCAGAAACATATGAAAGCTCAGGACCAAAAGGATAGCATTGCACATAATAAAAGAGCCAATGACATTTTCAGGTTAGAAAGGGCAGAGAAGGTAAGGACAAAATGTAGAAACAGACACGTAAGCAGAAGAAGCTAGAAACTCCTGGGAAGAAAAGAAAGAAAGAAAGAAGGTGCTCACTCAAGTTTATAATGTTATTGGAATCTACCTCTTCCATCGGTGCTATTGAAAATGCAGCATAATTTGTTTTAAACTAGAAAACAAATTTAATTTGTTACTTCATCTTGACTCACGAGAGCAGAAGAGCTTGAAGTGGCTTCTAAATAGAAGGCTCTTGAGTACAAGTGAGGCAGAAAAAGCTGCTGGCTCTGCTTATGTCTGGACATGCCACTCCTGCTGCCACTTGACTTCAGGCAGTGTCAGTGCTGATACACTAACGAGAGTCCATGGGTCTGCTGCACTTGTAAGTGAAGATGGTAAAGTAGGGGGAAAAAAAAAGAGTTAGAGTACTAATCTGGAAGCAAATGGAAGTTTGTGGCAGAAGGTCACAACATACTGGGGCAGCTCAGCAGGGCGGAGGACGTGGGAGAGGCGTGCCTACACACAAATCCAGAGTTACACCAGCACTGAAGGGATTAAAATTCTCACGAAATTAATCCTGCACTACTTAATTTTTTTAAGTATTTACAAATACTTAGCAATATCACATGTGTTTACAAATACTTGGTGCTATCACGTAACAGGATGTCAAAGCAGCAGGTCTGCACTTATCAGCCACAACCTTTCCATGAATCATGACCAGTGAAGTTATCTGTGTTCCAACAGCTGCTGAGACAGTGAAGAGCACAAAAAGTTTACAGTGAACAGGATATAAGGAAAATAACCTAAGCACTTTTTCCTGCAAGTTTAATTCTTCACTGTATACAAACATGCAAGACTTCACAACAAGAATAATCACTCTTCACACCAGCTGTGAGTATATAAGGTTCCCTGAAATTAACCCATCTCTAGTTACAAAATACATTTTACCATTTGCTCCAAGGACCTAAAGCATTTCTAGAGTATAGAACAGCCAAGGGTTGAACCTAACAAAAGTTCAAGATCCCCACAGCTTGTGAGAATAGCCAGCCTAACCATTATCAAGTAAACACTGGGGAAACTTCGTGTTTTCCACAATAACTTCAGGAAATCATTAGTAGAAATGACTGTAAGTAATTCCTGCTCATAGTCATATGCTAGAATCCAGGAACACTACATCAATCCTGTAACACAAGGAAATCTCCCAAACTTTAAAAATAAGAGAGTGATATGCAGATATTAAAAGTGAATATTAACACTGGACTGTGCCAATTACTGTGGTGGACGTGCTGACTTGAAGAACAGCACAAGCCACACATGGAAAATACTTCCAAGGGGTTCTTCGCTCCAGCCTTACTTAATGTCTGGACTAAGCCAGAGCCTGAATTTTGGCAGAGAGCACATGTTTCCATTATTTCAGCCTGCTATACAGGCTTTGACATCAAAGCAACTGTGTAATATTTGCAAAGCTCCCTTGGCAAGCCAGATGAGAAAAAAACACCCCAAAGTAACAGCTTTCAGGAATCAGTTTTTAACTGATGGCACGACAGCCTGCATAAATTTCTGAGTTCCCTTCCACCTTTAACACTCTTTTCATAACATCCATGGCCAGCAACATTTGGTATCAACAAGTGATTGTGTTAATTACTTGGGAAAAAGAGGTGCCAGACTTACTGGACACTAAACAAAATGGTTCTCATGCAGTTGCTGTATTTAACAGTAACGGCAGCAGAACCACCAGCAGCCACAAACATAACCATAGCTCGAAGTTCGTACAAAATAAAAAAAAACATTTAAAAAAATCAATCACTAGGTAGAGATGGCGAGATGGAACAGTGGTGGCATGTGATTTTATGTCTTCCAGGCTAAGCCTTTCAGGAGGCTTTATTAAACAGACTACTTTCTCCCCACTTCATGGGGGCTGGCATTCTTTTTGATGATTAATGTTAAATTCACAAATTTCTCTGGAACTTTAGAGAGGTCCGCGGCTGAACAGATATCTGAAACTGCTTCCCGCAGCTTCTGTCTGGAGAGAAAACTTGCATTATGGCAGATTAACAAAAAACCCCCAAACCAACAAAGCAGGTGGAGGGTGAAGGGAGGCTTAGGAAGCAGAGCTGCCAGTGCCAGCAGCGCCAGGAGCCCAGCCGCCAGGCGGGTTGCGGGGCCCGGGAGCACCGGCCGCACACCTGCGGGCAGCCCCCGACGGCGATGCCCGTGAGGCGCCGAGCACGTGTGAGCCACAGCCCCGATATCATGAGCTCCGTGGCCGCGGTCACGGCTGTCGCGACAGCAACCCCCGCAGCCCCTCATCCCCCGGCCGCGGGCCGGAGCAGCCGGAGCCCGCCCGTACCCGGGAACGCTCGGGGTGGCCCCGCCTGGCGCGGCCATCGCCCCCCGCCCCGGGCCCGCCTGGCCATGCGGGCCGGGACGGACCCCGCGGGCCCCTCTCGCTCACTTACTCTTCTCCGGAGCTCGCACCCGCGGCGGCAGCTCCCGACAGCAGCAGCTACGAGCCCTTCAGTTCTTCCGCCCCCTTCCTCCTGCAGCGGCGCTGGGCCCGCCCCGGCCCTGCCCACCGCCTCCTCCTGCCGCCGCCGCCGGCAATTTTTGAAGGCAAATCCGGCTGCGTCACTTCCAGCCTAATGGGACGGGGGAGAAGGTCCGCCCGGCCGGGCTGACGAGGAGTTGGTGTTTGAGCATTATTACTAAAAGCGAGGAGCTGGTTTGGTTGGAAATTTTTAAGAGTAGCGGTGGGAAGAAAAAAAAAAATTAATTAAAAAGGGGGGCGAGAAAAGAGCAACTGCATTGGCCGGGAATCGAACCCGGGCCTCCCGCGTGGCAGGCGAGAATTCTACCACTGAACCACCAATGCTTGTGCGTTGACTGTTCTTTGCCTTCATCACTCAAATATGACAAACCTGCCTTAGCTTACCCACCTTACGTCCCGCTCTGGCGGTCGAGGACCTCTCGCCGGCTAATTCCGTAATTGACAAATGTCAGTTTTGCCGAGTGAGTAGCAAGTGCCCACTTTTATCTACATGCTCTTTCTTTGTGACTTGTCTGCACCCCGTCAAACTTTGGATGAAAACGCATCTGAGAGTGCTGAGGTAAACCTGCTGCCGAGCGGAGTCAGACCAGGAAACTGCCCTTAAGTGTCCCTGATGGAGCAGTGCCTCGTCACCTGTCTAAATAGACTCAGCTGCTTAGCAACAAATAGGATCTAAAGGTTGGGCACAATGCAGGAGGTTTATGATAGTCCTTCAGGGTGAACTCCAAACCCCCACAGCAGAATGTTATCCTTTAATTAAGTGTATCACGTCCATTCTTACTCGTCTTGTTATTCTATTTCTACCCATTCTTAAACTGGCAGTTTTAGTCTATCCCTTTAACGAGTCTACACTTAAAACAATCATTCTGACATTACTTCAGCTGTAAAGACACAGAAAGCTGCTGATGAGTTTCTAAAATTTTAAGTATATCACATCACCTGCCTGATGAGAGCTGGAGGAATCTCCTTTCTCCCTTTTGTAGGTGGGCTAATGAATAAAAAATGGTGCTGTACTTCCATAACCTCCCCTCCATGCATAGAAAAATTAGGCTATAACTCAGTCTCTCCAATAACATGTTAGTTTCTGCATTAGCACTTTGAGATGTGCACTTAAAGAAGGGGATTTTCACAAAGACCCGTAGAGATGAAAGCTGTGATACATTGTCCCCTTAAGGAACAGCTTAATGGTACATAATGTGTGCATAATAAAGAATAATAATAACAGTAATTTATAATATTTACTTATTTTGATGAAAGAGGCAGCAGAAGACATGGAAAAAACAAACTGAACTCTTGAACATCAACATGTATACTTTTGAGAACAGGTTACAAACATGAGGTGACAGCCAAGTACAACAGCATTTCTGCTGTTAAACTTGTGCAATTTTATTGTTAAACAGTAGAGCTGTTGCAGCATAAATGGAACTTGTAGAAGAGGGATGTGAAGGACAGGAAAATAAGTGCAACTGGGAATCTAGTGTTTAAAGAATATGATTTTCACTTCTTATGAAGATTAAAGGTGGGGTTTATTATTCCATCAAGTGTTACACTACAGAAACTGATTCTGAGAAAACAGGAACAGTTTCTATAACTCAGGAATGTCACCGACTACCAGTAGCTGATAATTTAGTTAGGCTGCTCACAAGAGCTGGAATTCTCTCTCTTATTCTGAAACAACTTTTAAGAAGGTGTCAGTGCAACCACCAGGTTGCACATCCCATCCCCCAGGTCAAACACACACATGCTGTGCATTCAGTCAGCAGGGGCAAGGAAGCCTCCACTACCCAACTGCTGGGCACTGACAAACTGGAAACCTGGCACTCCTGGATGAAGGGGATGTATGCTCCAGTGTACCTACTGGAAAAGTCAGCAAACATGCACATTCTTTTCATATGAACACCTGGAGTCTTGGAGATCATGGTCCAAGCCACCATCCCATAAGCCTCTAAGACCCAAATGTGCCAATGGGCACTGGGAGATCACATGGCACACATGTAGCTGGATTGCAGGAATTCAGAGACCTGGCAAAAGGGGCTGCCCAGGTCATGATCGAGACAATACTCAAAAAAACACTGAACAACTTACTATGGCCATGAGATAATGTGAGATTTTTAAGTTTACTAGATAGACACAGAATGAATGATCCGCTTAAGCAGGATTGTGGGAGATGGTCTATGTATTTAATTGGAGAATCCAAAAGAACTGACAGTCTTATAATACAAAAAAGACATTATATATACATATACACACAGAATATGTCTATATATATCTGTATAGATATATATAAATCAGTAAACTTGAATAGTGCCTTTATCATGAGCATCTTAAGGCATTCAGACATTTTATTATGACATTGACCCAGTTCATTATCTTTTTGCTTTGGCTGAAATAAAGCAAACAGATTTAAAGGTCTGATCTGAAACACCCACAACATCCGAAACAAAAGCTTAATAGTATCTTCAGTGACAGCAGCATCATCTAAGAACCCACCCACCCACTGCACTGCCTATCAGCTGAAAACTATTAAAAGGAGTCTAAATAAATCATTCCCACTCACAGTTTTTGCAACAGCGGAAGATACATCAGTCTCAAAGAGGCTTTCTAGCCATATATTCTATAGATTCTATTACAAATTGAGGAAAGAAAAGATACAGCAAGAGGGCCTGCCCGAGGATAGAATGCCACTGAATATCAAATAGTATTTACAGTACAAGTTATAGGATTATAGAACATTTTATAAATACAATTAATATGTATACAAGGGCACATAAAAGAGAAACTTGTTTTCATGCTTTACAAAGTAAAAGTAACCTGAACTAAAACTTACTGCAGAATTCCACAGCTGCTGGCTAGGAGCCTCTCTTCTCCACTGCCTGTACAAACCAATCCCCATCGTAGGTCACCAGTGAAGCACCCATGTTTTCAGCAGCAACTACGAAGAATCTCAATAGACTCTGAATCTATGTATGAAACGTCAAGTTTCAAAACATGGGTAAGGCAGAGCGTGCTGGAGAGCTGTGACAACATTCACGTGTAACTACCTTTCTCAGAGGAGAACCTGGACTGTAACAAACTGCACTTTTTGCAAGGGAATACATAATACTGCAGCATATAGGTGGCAAAATTCAAACAAGGTACATTACAACTTCTAACACCTGATATTAGAAAATGCCAGGTGCATCTACCAAATTCTAAAGATGTGAGCACTTCTTGTATTTGTTTAAAAAAGGCAGAAGAGTATTTAGTATTTCAGTACTTGCACATCTCCTTAAAAGAATCAGTAATTTCCTTTAAAAAAAGCAATTGTTCTTTCTTTTTAGAGCAATGGTGCCTTTACAGGACACATTTTTTACCTTTTTTAGAATTATTTTTAAATTGCCTAAGATCAGAAATAGTATTAAACAGGAATACACCATAGTATAGTGCAGGCAGATGAGAGATATACTCAGATGAAAAGGCAATTTTAAGAGTCAATTTAATGAATTGACATTATTTTCTCTGCACACTTCAAAAATGGTGAGGCAGGCTTGATTAAATTACCTTTAACCAGCAATATATTATACTTTTCTCCAAGACAAGTAGACCAGTTTTACTGGGGTACTTACTATGAAGGAGGATAATCTTTAAAGTTTATTTACATGAAAAGCAATCTTTTTTTACGTAATATATAAAATGGAGTAGTTATGCACTGCAGCCATTTTATAATAATTAAGCTAAATGAAATTAATATTAAAAGCTACTCTATTTGAACAGCTGTGGGGAAGGCAGAACAGGAATTGTTTTATTAAGCTGCAAACTCATTTTCATTATAGAAAGCAACTAACTAACTACTTGTTTGAGAAAACAATTTCTCATAACCATTTTCTAACCATTATAAACTGTTCACAGTAGTGGGGTGAACTTCCACAAACATTTTCTCCTGTGACAAAGTATGTTTGAGAAGTTTCCTCACTGCCAACCTGCTGCAGTTCCTCAGTTATGTCAATATAAATAATTTTTGGACCACACTAGAAACTGGATCACTCAAATGACCACACTTACAAGAAAGGAAACTCCAAATGCTAACCAACAAGCACTTTCTTCACTGGTCCAGTATTTAGGACAGTACTAGAGACAGTTGCACTAGCACAAAGAGAGACACAGGACTGGAGCACAGAAAGAGAACAAATGGCCATAAGCAAACAAACGAGCTTGGTGGGAAAAGTAAACTGGTAACTGATGTTCGCTGCAAGAACAGCTATGAACACCAATTTCATGACGTTTAGACAGTTGCAATGCCAGTGCAATGGCACAAATAATAATTTAGGAAAGTAGTAATGCTTACATGCATGTTGTTACATCATCCATTGGAATTCAATTCCAAGGAAGAAGAAATGTTTCAAAAGACATTAAGTTTACTAAAAATAGTACATTTTTTTTACCACTGTGTTTATTTTAGGAAAAAGAAGGATAGAGACAAAAACATAACTCTTTCTGCCTCTCAACACTAACTCCTGATCTTGTCTCAGTGAAGCTGCTTAGTGATGCTCCCATCCCTGCTCCACATAACCTCAACAAGCTCAGTACCCTCCCACCAGGAGACCCTAGGAAACACCTGAGCATCTGCTGCTGGAAATTATGGAAACAGTAATGCAGAAGGCAGCAGGCACAGCTGTAAGTTCCCAATTCTGTTCAGAACCGGGCTGTGAAAGAGGATTGAAACTGTACTGCCAGCTCAGACCTGTGCACAGCCCTTCTCAGTGCCTGTGTAACCAGGAGGATAATTGTTCCAGCCAAGGGAAATGGATCTCCACAAAAAGTCTCAAAAGTCATAATTTATAATCTTTTCCCATTACTATCTCAAATTTATCATGAAGACACTACTCTAAAATTTATTTTTCAAACTAAAAATTCCAACTAAAGTAGCACTGTACACACTTTACAGTTTGGTTGTAGTCAGAAAGTTGAACTAGATTTCA